CTGCGAGCTTCCTCTGGGGAGATGCCATCCCTGATATAAGCCGCGATACGCCACTTGGATGCACCGGAGAAATGTTGTTTTTTTCCCCCCGATGTCCAACCTTTTTAGGTCCTCCTCAGTTTGTTGGATAATAGGTCCTAGAGGATCCTGATTATCCGTCTCCATCGGATGCGCCGCTTTTTCCTCTACTGGCGTGAGAAGGAGTTCCTCCTCTGCGTCAGTCGAAAGAAGCTCTGGTTCCGCAGACCCTTGAGCACTAACTGTGTTTATATTAATGTTGTCCTTAGTATTGTTGTTGTTGTTGTAGTTGTCACTGTTGTTATTGTTGTTGTTGTTGTTGCTGTTGTTGTTGTTGTCGTTGCAGTTGTTGTATTTGTCACAGTTGTTGTTCTTGTTGTTGCTATTATTGTTGTTATTGTTTATGTTTTCCATTTTTTGTTCCCAAGAATAGCGCGGGAAAGTATAGTCACCCATGGCAGAGCCCGGTATGCCATGGGAAGCCTCGTTTAAACTGGAGGGCGCCTGGTATCCAGAGTCCGCATACTAACGACTAAGCTCCCCCTTAGCAACGCAGTCATCGGCATATGCTGTTCCACCTTGGCTTGGGACGCCTGTCGTCAGCTGACGTATAGATATAGAGCTGAAACTCACAAAGCGAGAGGCTCGCCAAGAGACATGACCACGACACGAACGTAACTTTGATCGTTTCAATCACCCCTTTATCCTCCGCCATTTTCCGGGCCCACCACTAGGAGATGACAGTGCGGTTTTGGGCCCCAAAAAATAAACTAAGAATTGGAACAAAAAAATTATGAATCAAATTTAATTCAATTGCAGAAAATATGACATATACAATAGCGGAATATAGCCTCAAAATATGCAACGTCAAACGGCTCAATATTTTCTCACCATTTCAAAAGTAGTATAAGACACATTAATGACAAAAGCCGGAGCAAAAATCAATTTCGAAATAAAATAAAATGCATGTGCATTATTGTTTTTTTCTTCATTCCGTATTATTCTCCTAGAGAACATTCTCTTAAGATGTGACCAATCCATTTCCACTTCAAAAAGTGAATTGGTAGAACGACATCATTAATTTATGTGCGATCTTCCACGGGCAACTGATACCTTTGCTTAGTGTGGTAGATTCCCTCAGACATTTGTCTAATACAATGATTTCTCATCTACTGATTGTTCTACTGATATTCTACTGATTGCTCGACTATCAATTTAATTGTGTTAGAGTGTTCGGTGCATCCACGATTCTGATAAAAGTTCGTCTGTTCTTCTCTGAGGCTTATGTCCAATTTTCCTACTATCCCGTCATGTATTATGAGAGTTATTATTTTGGTCACATTAATGAGCACTATTACGCCTGCGCAATTACGACAGGTCACCTTTTTTTTGGTAGCTTGATTATTAGTCCTTTTTTCCAGGCTTTAGAGATTTTTTCGTCTTGACATATATATATTTTTAGTGATTTTAGTGCATTGGTTGCTTAAACATTAAATCAAGCAATTCAATATAAAAAATTTTGTAATTCCTGAATTCAACAAAACTTCTTTAATTGTTTCCCAAACACAAATAGTTCTATTCTCTAAAAATGAGATTATTACAATTTCTTTATTATTTCCGAAACGTAAGCCCTTAATATGCATAGTTTTTATTTTTACCAAAATTAAGAAATAAAAATTCTTAAATATTCCACAATTTAATATTTTTAAATTTGATTTTAATTAAAATTTCAAGGTTTTTTTTATTTAAAACCCAAAAAGAAAATAATAATTTTCAAAATTTTTATATCAAACACTAAAATTAACACTAAATTAAATAAATTAACATTTCCACTTTACATACAAAATTAATAAAAATCAATTGAAATTTTAATATTTACAAAATTCTTACAGTTAATTTCGAGTATACCACTACATATACAACATACAGCGCGTATACGTATGGTAGAAATAATAATCAATACTCTGAAAAATCTGAAGTAGCATAATAAAAACTAAAGAATTATTAAAGAAAATAATAAAATCATTTGAATAAAATGATTTTCAATTAATATCACCTTGCTTTTTATGTAAATTTTAATTAAAAGATTGTGAAAATTAGTATAAACAGTCCAAATATTCCAAAAATGAAGGAATTACAAAACAAACGGGCAAATAGGGGCAGTTGAGTAATTATTGTTTAAATGTTTATGACACAATTTTTATGGGATTCACAAACGGTTCAAGGTTTTATACAAGAAAATGGAAGATATTAATTACAATAGTCAATTAATATTAAATTATTTTATTTTAATTGAAAATTTAAAGAAGAAAGTCTTTATTATTATAAAATTTTATTTGAATTCTATTATTTTTCCGTACATTTCCATAAAACACTCACAGAATATGGGCCGTAATGTACCTAAAGTACAAATACATCCGGTATAACTTAAAAAACAAATTACAAGACGAAAATTTAAAAAAAAAATTAAAATTCTTAGTATCTTACACAAAAATCGTGTAAAATCAGAATGACCAGTAGTTTTCTTCACGTTATTTATGACGCTTCTATATACTATGACACTATACATACATGCATACTTCTAATTCTATGCCATGGTCATAATAATATACACAAAATTTTATACTTTTAGATTTTTAATCTATAAGTTATTTTAATTTTCTTTTTCTATATATAAATTATTACATATAACATACAGTACAGTTCCATTAAATGAACCCAAATTGAATTTTTGTTCATTTAATAGATTAACGCTGTAAAATAAGATGATTTGTTGTTATTGTTGAGTTTTCTTTAATATAAGAAGGCAGTTGCATTAAATTTCGTTCTAAAATTAACAGATGATGCTGGTTAACTAGACTGCGGTACCAATTCCAATATTTTGTACTAAAAAATCTTTATGCGAATTCACTCAAATTTTCTCTTACTAGAATTCTGTATTTTTTTTTTGTTCACTTTCAGTTAAAGATTTCATAGACCAAGACCGTCTTCGCGCTAAATTCCTTCATGTTTTTTCTTTTCTACCAATGTCTCTAAACAAAAGTTATCATACCTATTTCTGTCAATATTTATAAGCTTACATCTATGTGCCGATGTCAGAAATTTTGCTATCTTTGCAACAATGTATCACAATCACAATACCACATTCTATAGTTATTACCATATTTTAATAGCTATTTCGGGATATTTCTGCTATTTCGGACTATTTCTGCTATTTCGGACTAATTGATTCTGCCAACTGCTGTTAACGGAGCTGAGCTTTTTTATTTTAGCCAAACTAAAAATTTGTATACATTAATTTCAATATCACTGTGTTTACTTACATATATATATGTATATTTTACAATAAAATAGAAATTACAAATAATTTATATAGTATAACACTTTCATAATAAGCAGATATAAAAGTTGAAAACAAAAAAATCTATTATTAAAATGCTATTACGATTATGCTATAACTTTAAGTATATATAGCAGCAATTATGTCTATATATAAGGCAAACATATAATAAACAGGCATGTTTAAAATAGTTATAAAATATATGTACAAATACATATATAGTATACTAGTATTATTGATATCTCCAATTAGCACTCCTGAACTTTTTTTTGTTTTCCTTTTCAATAATAATTTCTAACAATTATAGAATTTTCATATACAATACGCGATTCATTTAATAATATATAAAAAAAAATTATATTAATATATAAAATTTTTCTACATAAACTGTACATTATATACACATAAGTATAACATAAATAAATTGTATATATACATACATATACATATATATTTAGATAAATTAAATAAAGAAAATTTTTTAGAACATCAAAAAAATTTTTAATATAATTTTAGTATACAAAACATTCAAGAGTCGTCGTGACGTGTACTTGTGTTTTTTGTTTTATATTTAAAAATTTTCCTGTGTATATATTAAAGCTGTTAAATAGTACAGTATATTTATTATATAATATATAAATATATATGTATGTATATATATTTAAGTATTGATTTAAAATATTAAAAATCCACCCATAAAAATCAATACTCAAAAATAATGCCATAATAAATAAGAAAATATCAAAAATTATTATTGTACAATAAAATTAACTTTGTTCGTATTAGATTCGCGCGCAACCCGTGGTATATTTTGGCACCATAAATTAAACATATATAACGTAGTTACAAGAACAACGAACAAACAAAAAAAATTGTAAAACAAAGAGAAGCAAATTCAAAAATAACAACAACAACAACAAAAAAAATCAATGTAGTTTTTTTACTATAAATTTAATAAGGTGATCGACCACCACCTGTTGTTCAAATAAGTGTTAACTTCAACTGATCTTAAACACCTTTAAAATGTTCTTAAAATTTATTACATAAAAAAAAAATCGTTTTGTTATTTTTTTTTCTCATTCTGTAGTTTTCTAATACCTACATACTAACATATAAAAATATTTTTATTTAATATTTAAAAAGGCGTTTTAATAATCACCAACTCGTATAATACTTTTAATTTAATCTAAACGCCATGATGTTATAGTACAAAAAGAAAACTCATATTGCGTAAATAAAATTGAACATTTCATAAAATGTTGGTGCATTCGATAAAAATTGAGTAAAAAATTAAATTATGTATGACACAAAAAAAAAACAACAAAAAAATTAAAGTGAGATAAGTGAATTTGCAATAATGTTATGTAAAATGTTTTTCATTTTATAATATGTATAAGAGATTATTATGAAATTTACAAATAATATATAAGCATATTTACAAGAAATTGTTATACACGAAAAATGTAATTATATTAGTTTCTGTTAAATACTAATTAATTAAATACAAGCTATATTAATATGCAACATTTAAGTATTACTAAATAAATGTATAACAGATAACATTGAATTAATATGTTAATTGTATAACAGATTATTTATGTGTTATACTGATGTATTATAATATTACAAAATATGTATAATAAATTATAGAAAAAAAATGTGTTTTAAATTAAGGTAAGACAATAATAATAATATTGTTATATTTCGATATTGTTATACGAGTATATTTTTTTTTATCTAATACAATTTTTGCTTATTTAGTCCGAGAAATTTTATACGTTATAAATTGTTCTGTTAAATAACGTTCTATTCTATTAGTTACGTTACACTCTCTTTACCGTTAATACAACAAGAGAGTCAAAAAGTTTTGAGAAAGAAGAGGATAGAGCAATTTTATATAAACAAGAATTAAAAGTCAGATACTGTAATCGCATTACTTCGGCAACACTATGAGTACATATGGTACTTAAATAGCTCCACATAAATATTCTCACACAAATCTTTAGAACATGAAAATTTTTAGTTTGATGTAAATAAGCAAATTGCAATCAATTTTTTTGCGCGCAAAATAAAAACTATGAACACATTATGTTTATAAATAAATGCTATTATCATATATATTATATACTTGTATGATACATATACATATATACCTTTTAATTTATATATTGCTTATTATAAATTTCCCATACTAATTTTAATATTTTTAAAATTTATGATCGAATAAATTAAGTAAAAATCTAATAACATTTTGGGCAAATATTTGTGTTGATCGCATTCACTGAATAATTGAAGAATCACGTTTGTATGCATGTACGTTGTAAATGAATTGTAGCAGATATTTATGACAGATCTTTTTCAAAATTAGTGTACTGCAAGAAGCATAGTGCAGTTATAAGGACAGACACTTCTAATATTTTGTTTTACAAAATCTTTAACAGTTTGGTTAAGTCGAGAGTTACAATATCATAAAAACGGATAGTGTGTATAACATACCGTGATACACAATCAGCAAAACCGATTAAAATTATTTTTTTCACGCCAATTTGAATTTTGTTCTCTCTTATATTTTTTTTTCACATAGATATAGATTTTAAAAAACAGATGTTAAAAAGTTTTCATGATTTTGAAAAATTTTAAAACTAAAGTAGAAAGTGAATTTTTGCCGTATGTACTAAATTTAATCAATTGACATTAAAATTGATTAAATATACAAAAAGTGTATTATTGTGTTTTTAGCTTACCACACTTAAAATAAACTCTTTTCAACCTTGAATAGTGAAATGGGAAAACAAAAAAAAAAATTTTGAAAAAAACCTGCTCAAATTTAATTTTCCTTTGATCACTAAATTTTCTGGGTAATTAGAAATTGGCAACAAAACTAGAAGACCAGCGAGAAACGAATATATGAGATGTATAGGTTGCTAAAATGTAACAAAATTTTCAATAAATTTTCATTTATGACAGAAATTTTTTTTTTTAAGAAAACATGCCATTCGAACATATGTGCACATTTTCTAGAACTTGTTTAGTGACAAAAACATTGTCTTTTTGGAAAATTATCAATTTTCACATAATTATTTTGTTTACACAAGGAACTTCTGGCTAATTGGTTAAAAATAGAACTAATTTATGTATTTATTCTGCTTGTGTTTTGTTTTTCAATATCAAATCAGTTATACTAAAATAGTTTGGAACCTAATCTCGGATTTTTAATATTAAGCAGATATGCGCTCACCCTATTGTATTTCTACTAGTAGGCTTCTTAAAAAATTCAATTAATTTTACGGGAAGTCGCATATACTGACAGACAGGTGGGTGAGGTCGTATAAGACATACTACGCCCGGGGAAAAAGAAGCGGATATCAGATGAGAAATGAAAACAATAGAGTTCTGGTGTGGGTTCCACAGGGAACTACAACAAAATGATAACCCTAAAACAAGAACACTATACAAAATTTCACAACAAAATAGTCAGAGATACACAAATGGTAGTTGATAACATACAAATAAAAAGATCAAAAAACACCATCTAATAAAAGACAAGAAAGGTAACCTGAAGATCACAAACACTCAAGAACAACTTGTAATATGGAAGAAGCATTTCAATGAAACAAATGAATTGGACCAAGAAACCCCCGAAAGAGAACGAGAAGGTTAAAGCAACATTAGCCACTTTAACACTAAGCCTCTTTAAAAAAAAGGACGTAATTGTGAAATTAAAAGAAAACAAGGCTGCAGATGTGGACGGAGTGCCTGCACAATTGCTCAAGATCGACCCTAGCGCGGCAACTACACTTGTCGAGCCCATAATAGAGAACATATGGCATTTAAAATTATTATTTTAAAAAAAAATCTTACCTATTTTTTAACTTTTTTGTTGCTGTTCAGAGGGCGATTCAGAGGATTGGTTGAACTAAGAATAAAGGAAAAAACATTTTAATCTGCAATCAAATCTAATTATTTTGTGAAACAAATCCCTTTTCGAATTTATTGGGAATTTCATAATTTTAGGACGCATCTCACATATCATTAAATAAATTTACGAAATATACAAGGTGTGTATATTTTGAATTTCTTTCCGGGATTTGCATGCTATACAATAATTTTAAATGACAAACAAAAATTGTATATTTTGGGAATGCATTTCGTTAATATTTTAAAAATTTTTTTCCTTACTTCTATTTTAATTTTTGTTTAGACTTCAAAAATTTTAATTGTACGTCACATAATTTTTCTTACTTATTTTTGTCTTCCATATATTCAAAAAACAAAATTTTTTTAAATTAGAATAACCTAAATTCCGAACATTTCCGACTACTATAAATCATTACTATTAAAGAATATACAAAAACAAATTATTCGTTTTTTTTTTATTATTTTCATCGGCGGCCATCGTATACGTAAATCGTAATTAGACAAAACGTTTTTTTGTTTTTCTTACGTTTCACAATACTCCCATATAATATTAAAAAAACAAATCTAATAATAAAATTAAAAAACAAAAAGTCTATTAATAAACTTGTAAGATCAACTAAAAACCAAAGAAAAAAAAAACTCAAAACAAATCACTAAATAAAAACAAAAAAGGCCGTCTAAAATTAAACGGATTGGACTGGTCGGTCAACCGTAGTATGACGTGCTACACAAGATCCTCATAAATATTAATATAACGCGCTATATAATTTATGCCGCACAAAACAGATTATAAAAACATTAAAATAATTTAATAATTCAAAAAATAAAAAAATTCTCAAGCTTTTTAGAATTTCATTGAAAATAGAAAAAAAAAATAAATAAATAAATAAAATAATTAAAATAATAATTAAAAGAATTTTGAATTAATTTTGATTTTAGAGTTCAGAACTTACCCCTTTTTTTAATTTAATTCCAAATTTCTTCTTTCAGCAATAATTGTATATGAAATTTCGATTGATTACAAAATTACTCCAAAAAATATGCAAATTTCCGTGATTTATAATTTGTGGGAATGTTTAAAAGTATTCACTGGAATTAAATATCAAATTCATTAACCCTCTTAATACACACAGCTATTTTTAGGTATACGTTGCCTTGATGAGAATAAATTTTCTAAATAGCCAGCCCTCTATGTTTTCAACAATATTAAAACTGAATTTTAATTGTATAAACACCTCCTTTTTTGAGTGGTACTGAAACTACTATTACCGTTAATTACAAAATTATGCATTGAAGGGTTAAGACGATTTTTAATAATGTGCCGCCACTCTAACTACAAATTTTTTTTATAATAGCGAAATATTTTCACTATACTGCGTTACAACAAGTTCGTGGATTGTCAAATACACTGAAAACCATGACATACATAATTTCGCTCCATTAAATACGCACAAATTACAAAATTTTGTTCTTGTATATTTGCTACATAACTTGTGTTGATCTTATCACTTTTGAAAATTATTCACACGTTAATTATTCACACTTAATTATTAAACATGACTGACACATACATATTCTATAGTGGTACTTCATTAGAATGAGTTAACATTCTCTTCTCACATACATGATGTAATTGAAACAAATTGTGAATATAAAAATAATGGTTAATACTTTGAATAGTTTATTTATTACATTATTTAAATTATTTTTATTACTTTTTCTAAATTTTCTTTTCACAATTTCATTTTAATTGTTTTACAAGTGTATATTTTTTAAATTAACAATTTCCGTGATTTTTTAATTATCACAATATTTCAGATTAAAAGTAATTTTATTCTAAGACAAAAAAAAATAAAAATTGTTTTTTATTTCATTTTTAATTCTTTAATAATTAAAAAGAATAATTAAATTTTTCCAATTATTACGTAATTTGTATTAGGAGATTTTTTTTTAAATCAAATTTAATTGAATTAAAAATTATAAGGCTATAAAATTATTCAGACAATTCTTTACAATATTTTAAAATATTTGCATACAATAGAATGATTTTTTTACTAAAAATTATAATTGCTATGTTGAGATTGAGTTAATTGGGTCTAGATTAAAAACAGATTTGCAATTTTAATGATCTTAGAACTTTTGAATTTTTTTTGTAGTCTTGAAATATCGCTTAATAGTTTTCTAAATACTTTGATGAACATTAATTTTAATGTAGCAAAATACTAAAATAGTGACCGAATACTAAAAAACTAGAGTACTAAAATACTAAAATTTAAAAAAAAAATATTTCGATAACTTGTTTGCATTACAAATTTTCTAACATTTTATTGTAAGTGTAATTATTTTGATCCAAAACTTGAACGAAACGTTATTGAGTATTGAGTAAACGAAAATCATCGAATTTTATAAGTTGATAAAAAAACGTTCCAATTATTAGAGAACATTACGAGAATTTTCGAAAATCTATCTGGCAATATTCATTGATCCAATGTCAGAGACCTTACAGAATATCTAAAATTTGATTGTATTCCCGATGCTGGATGATAGAATACAACAATGGCGGCTGCTTGATGACAGAAAAGGCACCCAAAATGAGCAATAAAATAATAAGGAAATTTTCCTCTTTCGGCAAACAAAATTAGGGTATTTAAACACCTTTAAATGAAATAATTCTCTTTTGAACATTGCACATTATCGGAATTTTACTTGACGGTTCTAATTAGTATCCCAGTCCGCCTAATTTTGATTATTCTGGT